GCTGATTCAGAAGCGCCAGATTGTCATAGCAAAGTCAGAATTACCTCCTCTCCTAGGTTCACGAAACGGTCGTCCATAAAATGCATTGCAGTTCTGTTGTAAGTAATCTTAAAGATTCCTAAATGCATCTACTTTCGTGAAACACACAGCGTCTCCCTGACATGGCTGCTTCAACATTAACTGCGGTTACTGAAACCACGCCTTCTTTCTTTGCGTGAATATTTGGGCGCATTATGCTAATATTTCCACATAGTGAGGTAGATATGTGGGGGCGTGTTAGAACGAGTCATTTTAGGGGGGCGTGGCAGAGTCTTAACTTTGATAAAGAATATCTCTTTGGATTTGAGACTTTAGTCTTTGCAACTTCAGGGATCTTATCTATGCACAATCAGCTTGTAACACTCCAAAGAGAAAGGAAAACTTGAAATCGCATCATATGACCCCTTTAAATATATATTTTATATTGCAATAATTTCACATTCAATCTACAAATTAATGTAGAAACAACATAAAGACAGTATATTTTTAATATTTGTATAATGGCATCTTTTTTATGACTGAAGGCAAGTATCACTGATATCAATACTACTGATGTCTCTATGAAAATGTTTTTTTTTCCCCCCTAATATTTAACCATTGACTATAGCCATTCAACATTACAGTATGATTGAGAGCTATCAATTTTAACATTTATTAGACTTTAAAAAATAACAACTCCAGCTGCTCCAGGACAGTTTTGAAAACCATTTCAGAAACATGTTTTTAAATGTGACTCATATAACAAATGCTTGCATGCAGTTTTAATTGCCTTTTTGGTAACTTAATGACTTAACTGACAGCATAACTACGACACTGCAAGCTCGTAGTTTCTTTTGTGCTTTGATATGAAATGATACAGGCTACAGCGCGCGCCGCTGCATTTGTACATGCAATTGAAGAGCACGTGCTACGAGCACAGTATACCGGCTGACAGGACAGGAAAAATCGCTTTTACTGACATATGGCCTGACAACATCTCATCTGACCGTGGTTCACTGTTGTTCTACTGAAGCTACATAGTCACCTGTACCTTTTCCGCGCTCAATTGACTCGCGTCTGAAAGTCTCCCGTTTGATGTGGTCATAAGATGTTCTGGTCGGAGACTTTATGCATTTAAATAAATGCAATTCTTGTCAAGAAAAAAGAGACAGAAGCAGCAGTTGTGAGTTGTGTGGCCAAACCTATCTCTGCCCCCGCGTTAATTGCATTAAATATTTTTATAGTTAAACGGAAAAAAATGTATCACCTGCGTTAACACATTAATTTTGACAGCACTAATATATATGTGTGTGTGTGTGTTTCTCTTGATTTGGGGCCAAAAATATTTTAGGTTTTGTGAGATTCCGCTAATGAGAAACCCACCTGGATGTGCCTCCAAATATCCTGTCTGGAGTTTAAATTTGGTATTAAATCTGACTTTAACAGTAGTGTAGAGGACAATCTCACCCTTGTAGGGCTTTTTCCCCAAAGGAGTCTCCTTTCCCCATAGAACGCAAGTAGACGGGCTCCTGACCCGGACAGTCCTCTCGAGTCATCGTCACCTGGACAGGGATGAGAACAAAAGAAAGAAATATTAGCATGGGATCATCTTCACAGCATCACTGCTTGCACTTTCCACTGAAATAGACTTACCTTTCCTTTACTGATAATGAAGAACGTGTCTCCTCTTGCCCCCTGGCGAATGATGTAGTCGCCATCCTCATAGTGGGTCTATAAGAGAGAGAAAATTGGTTAGAGGACGTGAGGATTATATGGAAAAAGAGGATGGAGAAAAATACAGGTGGCACTTTCTACAAAGAGGGTATGAATAGAGGATGTGCAGACGCAAGATCCAGCAGATTTCTAAATGGAAAAAAGGCAGCACAACATCTCTGACCCTCAGTGTGCTAAGACCTTGACCTCCAGACACATCAGTCTGAAATCAGATATGACCAGCAGATAGCAAACTGAAGCCCACAAAGACTCTGATACAAGCAAACTCTGTTCTAACATCACCTAGAATCTGACCTCCAACAAAACACCCACATACACACCTGCAGTCACAAGAGAGAGAATTTTGATTTATTATCCAGAAAATGATATAAATTATCAAAACTACCAAAGTACCAAAACAATAACAAATACTTGTACTTTATGGCATTGCGAAATCTATTGCAAATAATAAAAAAGTTTGAACAAAATGTACTTAATTTTAACATATTTAATATATGTATGTGTGTGTTAAAAATTGTTTTTTTACTTGCAACAGATTTCACAATGCTAAAACCTCTTAATTGTCCTTAGGCTTATTTGTTCATGTTTATTGTATTTTTATTGATTTTAATTAATAAAATCAATAAAAGTAAATGTTACATAACAAAAACCCTATATACTGATTACTATATATGATGTCATTTTGTAGATGTGTGTTTCAGAAGAAGCAGACTTTACTGCATTAATGCAGTTTTGGATATCCATAACTTAAATTACAGTAGATATATTGTAATGGTCCCAAAAGTTGTAACAAAATTAAGAATGAACTAAAAATGTATTAATTTCAAAACATAACATAATGTTTGAGAAGAAAGTCCAAATACTTTTTGTCTTTAACATAACAACTTTAACATAACTTATTTTATAATTTAACACAGTTTATATGAGCAATTAATGGAGGAGTAGCATCAAATATAAGTGACCACAAAGATGATGACGGAAGGACAGATTCCATCCATGTGTCTAGACTTTCATTCCCCAGAACCTCCGGCATAATTAACATATGCAAAATTAAAATTTAAGTTCAAAAAGCTTCAGCAAATTTCAGTCTCATTGAAGGTCAATTATTAGCTGAAGAGACTCCCTCCACTCTCTACAAATTCATAGCATTTTTTTTAAACAAATCACATCACACAAAAAAAAAAGAACTGGAATGAGAGTTTGACCTGAATTTGAATAAATCATCATCACTGAGAGATGATGATTGATAGGTGAGTCGTTTTAATGACACAGAGCTCACAGTGCCATTAAATACTCTCATTATTTGATCTTACTTCCTCACATCTGCTCTTCTGTTGTTGTTTTGTTAGTGAACGTTATAAATGAGAGTTCATGTCTGAACCTATGGGTTAAGGTTTTCCTGGTTAGCATGAACCAGCTAAACCCTGCTGGCAGATGCCGTAAATTCAGCTTTCTGTTGCCAAAAAACATCTTTAGCCATTGAAGCCCATTTAAAAGTAACTGTTTTGACAGAAACAAAAAATATTAGCAAGCAACAGTGTTGTCATTGTTAACTAAAAGTTATTAAAAATATTTTGGTACTCAAAATAAAGATAAAATAAATCAAATATAAATATTAGATGAAAACTTCAAAGTTAAAAATGATAAATTTTGCTTTGGTAAATAACTGAAAGAAATTTAATTTGAAGTAGAAAAAGGACTAAAACTAATTGAAATATAAATTAATTCAAGTTAAATAAAAAAATATATGAAAAAACAAAAACTAATCAAATAAAAAAAAGAACAAAATTTAAAAAAAAATACAAAATCAAACAATTCAAAATATTAATCAATACTATAATAGTATATAAACAATACTAAAATTGGCAAGCAACATAAAAACAGTGAATAGGTCATTATATTATAGTAGATATAATATACCAGAGACCAACATTATAAAGTGTATGTCAGAAATTGAGCTGTATCCACTCAATCTACTCTGCTGTTAATGTTTCATGGTTGCTGTCTATACAGTACAAATCTGATAGTGCCTGTATTAGACATATTAAACATAAATGTAATTACTGTAATAATACGAGCCAAACCAATTTCTGTGTTGTTGTGTTATTGTTATGAGGTTGTGAATCATGTTTTATTACAAAGGCCGGACCACAGCCACTGCAAGATTATTAACAAATCCACACAGAATGGAAAACAACAACCTTTCACCCCTAAACACAGGGAGCTGTGAGTCTCCATCACTCACTCCCCAGTGATAAATGTCGTATTCTAACGAGGTGAAGAGAGGTGATGTGGACCTTTATGTCTGCGAATGATAGACTGACTGATGACTAAGATATTCACAATGTCTACAGCTCATCTTCTCATGCTATTCTTGGATGAAATCATTGATTTTTCTCCTTTGATGCTTTGCGCAAAGTGGACCTCATACAGAGAAAGAGTATAAACAACTTATGATTCATTCCACTACAACTTACTGAACCACGTGCATTCACTGTAAGACAAGAAAGTCTAAAAATGCTCCCTAAATTAACTAATGGTATGAACGAGGAGCTTTTATAACTTGAGTTGTGAGTCTTTCTTGCTGATAAACAGTCCCTGATGGAATCTGCTGATTTTATTCACTTTTAAATATGAGGCTGCAAATAATCAGTGGATAAAATCCTTTTTTTCCACTGTACCACAGCAGTACAGCCCCAATCTCTTTTTGTGTTCCCATCATTTTACTGATGACTGCTTCTCTAATCTCAGGTAGTTCAACGCGGGATTCACAAAATGCTTGCTCTTAAAGATGGCTCAGTACCCTGTTTATTTGGACCAGCTGGCTCCACTGAATCACAACCTGTATGATAAATAATAAAAGGGTTATATTTTCTATCAAAATACAGAACTACGGAACTATTGTATCCGACACACGGTTGACCAATCACAACAGACTGGGCCATGTGACCAATCAGAGCAGAGTAGGCTCATGGAAAGGAGGGGTTTAGAGAGACTGAATCTTAGAACTTATTTTTTTGGTTTCTTTACATTGAGCTTATTTAAATAAAATTACAAGCAAATAAACCACAGCTAGAGTGGTGCTTGTAAAGTTTGAATGTTGAGTGATCAGTGCACAGAGATGTAATTGCTTAGATTTAATTACAGTTGTTAATTAATTACAGTTTGCTTAAGGATCAGGAACATTTCCGTACCTCCTCAAGGACATCAGCCAGCTTGCTCAGTATTTCTTCTGGAAGACCCCGGAACGTCAGGACACTGTCAATCAGAGACACCTTAGTTCATTACGTCATTGGAAATCTTTTGTTAAAATGAAACAATCACATCTGTAAATGTGTGATGAATTAGATCCTTATCCAAAGCTGAAGAGTCTTTTGGTGTTTGTTAATGTCATGCAAGTTTCATTTAATTTCCCACACTTCATGTAATTCCGTACTTATTTTCACTGTACATCGGGTGAATTTTTAGGCTGACCATATGGTTGAAACAGCTGGTCACCATCACATATTGCAATAAACTCAGAGCTGCTCTCTGCCACGGAAACAACAATAATATCCCTCAATCACCATAATAAAACATTTCTAAATATATCTGGTCATGTGTTGAGTAATGGAGGAAAAGGTTTGCATCTGGCTAATCGGTATATGCGGAGCTAATTTGCCACAAAGACAAGGCATTATCTACATTACGTAATAAAAGCTGTAATTTATCTAAATCTAAATAAATCATGTTTAGGATGAAATGGCAGGAGAGGCCGACTGATCCGCTGTCCTGAGGGACAGTAGATTGTCCCTGATGAGATCTGGGCATCTTTGTCTGTTGCATTAGCAAACGCACACACATTTAAAGGGACGGGCTGCGTCCATGTTTCACTGTCGTGTGTCATGAGATGATCATACATCAATAACTACTCCTGCATAAATATTTCATATGCCATAAATAATTCAAGAGTCCATTAAAGTCTCCTATTACAGTTTAGCGTAAGACTGCAGCAGCGAAACCTAAAGGTGCTATGGATACACACAAGCCATTCTGGGCTAATATTTGGTCTGAAAATGACAGGATTTTTATTTTATTTAATCATTTAATCATTTAGTTTGAAAAGGCTGCTGATGAACTTTTAAGAAATCATACCCCCCCCCCCACACTAAAAAAACTTCCC